ATCGAGGATGAAGTACCGTAACCCCTGGATATCGAGGATGAAGTACCGTAACCCCTGGATATCGAGGATGAAGTACCGTAACCCCTGGATATCGAGGATGAAGTACCGTAACTCCTGGACNGAATATGTCATAGCATAATTGAAGGCACGCGGCTAGCTATTTGATTTGTGCCAGGTAAAAACAAACCTGACAAATCACTAGACTTATACTTTTCCTTTGAAGATTACGAAGGAGCGATGCCCGACTACAAAGCCTGTCAACTTTTACCGTTACGTGACCGTGATATTCTGTTGATGTATACCAAAGGTCCAAACTAGTCCTTCGATTTTACTAGGACATATTCCAGGGGTGTAGAGAGCAAAAGTGAGCGTACCCCTGGATATCGAGGATGGGGGGGTGTAGAGAGCAAAGTGAGCGTAACCCCTGGATATCGAGGATGAAGTACAGTAACCCCTGGATATCGAGGATGAAGTACCGTAACACCTGGATATCGAGGATGAAGTACCGTAAACCCTGGATATCGAGGATGAAGTACCGTAACACCTGGATATCGAGGATGAAGAACCGTAACCGCTGGATATCAAGGATGGAGTACCGTAACCCCTCGATATCGAGGATGAAGTACCGTAACCCCGGGATATCGAGGATGAAGTACCGTAACCCCTGGATATCAGGATGGGGCCACCGATAAGAAGAAATTGTCCATGTTTTGAGCTTTCAAGTTAAAATTTCGAGTAAGTTACACGAAAAAAAAGGAAAAGATCATCGCCACGAAAAAAATGTCGTATGATAAAGGTCTTTCAGTAAAGGCATTCAGAAAGGGTGTGTAAAGGAGCAGACTTGATTCTCTGGCGTAATGGTCTTACTTTCAACCATCTTCGAAAATACAGCAACATTAATATGAACGAGCGCATCCTGGCGGACAAAATTAAACAAAGACAAGTCTAGGCACAGAGGGGGTACGATGAAGGGTCCAATCATATGGTAGAGAATGTAAAATAGAGCCTCTGGTTGGTACGTTGAAGGGGGGATTGACATTGGGTCATTTGTTGCATAATTTAATT